TCCCTTCCCTTCCCTTCCCTTCCCTTTAGCAGAGCTAGGAATGGGAAGTATCTCCTTGGATTACCCAGTGCACCATGTCTGCATCAAGACTAAGCCTGTACCCATCCTAAACATACCAGAATAAAAGTGTTGTCAGAAGATGTGCCTCATGGATATCTACCTTTTCCAAGACAGATGCCAATGCCTGGTGTCCGCAGTAGCTGGAGAGGTTATGCTGCCTGGCCCAGTGTCAATTACAAGACATCTCCCGTTGAGATCTCTGAGGGAAAATATATTACAGTGTAGGTCGGGCTGGTCTCTTGGCATTCCGAGCCTTAGACTTACATTCAGACCATCTCTTTCTATGTAGGATGCTCCATTTTCTGGTTATGCAAGGAATGTCATAGAACTTACTCTGCACTGGTTTTCAGTAGAAGATCAAAGTAACGTTCCTCTTATGCCTGCTAGCTAAGACACCATCATACTTCTCTGATGTTTTTTGCCTGTAAAAAGACCCTCAACCAAGCTGACAGTAGTTCTCATCAAGAAAAATTATTTGAGAGAGCACACCCATGTTTGCATGCTGACACTTCTGCCATCTGAAGGTCATATCCCAATAGTGCAGCACAGATATTACCTTCAGAGAAAAATAAAGAAGGAGAAGAAAGCAACTTGCTTCGTAGTGAATGTACCAGGGACAACCTGTATTTTCCCACTTCACAATTGTGAGGTTAAAAAAAAAAAGTTATCCCTGATGAGAGGTCTGGCCATTTCTGGGTTATAAATCTGGTTCCAACAAGTTAGTCTGGGCATTCTTCTGAGTCATAACAAGTTTCTTCCCAGAGCATCTCACTTTTAAATGTACCTTTCTAGTGTCATAACCTTTACTAGGAGGTTAGTGGCAAAGAAGTCCCACACAGCAGCACACAAAGATGAACTTATCACCATATGCCTGCTGACCATGATATCTACTAATCCGTAGAAACAATCAGTGTTTGAAAAGTGATACCTTGGCTAGAATTATGTGCCTTGCAGGCACAAAGGTCTCATTTAATTGTTACTTGTAGCTTGGTTTGGACACTTGCATATTGTGGAGATGTGCAGAATGGCCACAACTCTATACGTATTTTCACCAAGAGTCATTTTCTGCTGCCATGAGGGAGTACTGTTATCAGTGCCTTCCCCATTCTGCTGGCAGAGTCACTGTACCTCCTGCTATCTCTCACTATTTACATTTGTAATCACTGCATCTTTTTTGCCTGAATTCCTTTCTCAGAGAGTATCCCTATGAAGACCTTGAGCTGCTACAATGACTACAACTCACAGGTGACCTGCACGTGGATGGAGCATTCAGAGGCTCATGCCCTCGTTGGTATGATTCTTTACCAAAGGAATAATATTATAATGTAAGTACCTGAAATGTGCTGTGCTGGATAAAAGTCCAAAGGGAACTTGGCCACAACTTGGAATCCTGGGGACCAGCAGTCATGTTTTCAGAAAACATGGCCACCTCTTTCTGTCATTGGGTTAAAGTAAAAGTTGTGCCTGCTTCTGAGGCCTCTCCTAGGAAGGGAGGAATGAATAGGGTATGCTAGTGGACTTATTTTTATTACCTTTACAATTATTTCCCCACAATTTTGTTGTGGGATCACAGATATGAAATAAGATGGGGCATATAGGTTGCTATTAATGGGGTAGAGAAGATGGTGTCGGAACAAGTGTGAGCCTGAGTGTTGGTTAAAGGGAGGAGACATTCCCGCTGTTATTTTGCCTATTTAGGAGCATCACTGAGTGTATGGTTTCAATCACTTCTGAGAAACATGTGTAGACTCTGTGTTTGTGAGATAGAGAAGACTGGTAAGTTCATTTGTGTTATCACTTTTCCTCCCAGAGATACTGGTCTGTTTATGACAGTATCTCTCTCTTACATCTGTTTCCTTATGAAAAGGGAACTGAATCACCAGACTGGATCAATGTGAGGATAAGAAAGGACAGAGAGGGAGGAATAGTCAAGGGAGAGAGGAAGACAAAGATGGAAAGCTGAGAAGAAAATGAATTAGAGTCTGGGGATACAGGAAGGAAAGGAAAGAGAAAGAACTCTTGGTTTTATTGTGAAGAAGAGAGAATTCATAGACCTAAAAGTGTCTGAGATCAGTGGAAGGTCTTTGGAACAAGACCTTAAAGCTAATGCTTCTGTGAAAAGATGATATAAAATTACTTGGACCTTTGGAGGATTCTCTGGGCCATTGTTACATGACGGAGTGTGTGGATCACACAGGAAACATGACTGAAGTGAGCTAATCAGGCAAGCAGGTATTAAGTGTGGACAGTCACACAGCTGAAATCAAAATGGCCAATGGTTAAACAAGGTCAGCTCATAGATGAAGAATAGTTGACTAAATCCCAAACTGTAAGGAAATGCTGGTGAGTAGACAGAAATATCTTGAGGACTTCACAACCCTTGGATTGACTCTTTTGTTTAAGAGTACTCACATGTATGGGCAGTCCCACCCATACTTCAGGAACATCCCTGGTTTCCTTGCTAATACCCAACCTTTAAAAATAGCAATAGTGCTGAATAATGCTTGCTGACATATAGTAGGCTAGGAGACTCCATCCTATCCTAGAAGACAGTATTTGGCTTAGATATTCACAATTTAATATTTCTCATCAGAACTGGAACAATGTAGTATACCGGGCATGAAGCCATAAGCACAAACAAAATTCCAGAGGGTACAAAAAGAAGCAACACATCTTTCCAGCAGCTCAGGCTACTGCAAGCACACAAAGCTTATCCTCTCCTGTCTAGTTTAAAATATTGTTTCTAATTTTCATGATGCTCCTTGGCCTGGAGAAAGGCTATCTAAAAGGATGATTAACATTCTGGATGAAATATTTAATGAATACATAAAGTCCCTTGACAGAACAGAACTACTAAGGATGCAGAAGTACATTTTGGTTGGAGATTTTTTTTTTTAAGTGTCTTTCTGGGACTGCAAAATGCATGTCTTCCAGAAGCGAAGGATCACCAGAAACTTTAATGCCTTTCGCTCTGAGTAAAAAGTGCATTTCCATTACATTATTTTTTATCACACTATTTCTCACATAAAAAATATGAGATTACGTAGTGTTAGGTTAAAACTAACAAAAATAGACTGGTACCAAAATGTAATGTTCTACAGCACAACTTTGAAATGGGAAGGCATTTGACAAAAATTCTGGTCTTAAAAATGTTTGTCATATTAACTGATGCAAAACAGGACTAACAGGTACAGTGAGAAGAAGATGTAAGTGCCCGAGTAAATTACAACAACAGAATGGGATGGAATTGGTTTCAGGCATTTAATTTTGCATTAACTATAGGTCTCCAAATCAGATATTTATAGATCACTTTCTCTATACACAGGAAGAATGAGGTGATGCTTTGCAAACGCCAGACAAAAAATGACTTACATGAGGCTCCAGGCTCCTATGTGCACTGGGTTTGTCGCGACACTATAGACGATTTTGGAATAGGGGTAGAAGATATTTACAGCTTCAAACCTAACAAGATGCTTCAAGCAGAACTAAATGTTGATCTTTTCCAAAATGGTAAGGATTAAACACCAAATTCTCATTTTCTAATAAATATTAGGGATCTTTGAGAATGTATTTGCCATTCAGTCAGGAATTTAATTCTACTTCCATTATGAAAACTGCCAGAGTTCCACATCAAGAGGATGGGGCAGGGAAGGGAGAGGGCAAGATTCTGGGAGCAGCTGGACCTAGAAGGGGGACTCAATCAGGAGCTACATGGTGTGGCAGGGATAAGATACTCTGGAAATGAGGAAGCTTACCTAGGCATTTTCTTCCCCTCTTCCCGTCCCTGTCCTCACTATCTCATCTCATGGGTTGTACCTTCACCTTCCAGTTCAGACCCTCCCACCTCAAAACCTCTCAGTCAGGTTGATGATATCAGGAGACGTCTTGCTGACCTGGAAAGCAGCTGATGGGACCCGGGGGCGGGGCAGTGCACGTGAAGTCACTTACAAGCGGGACTGGGAGTCCTGGGAGGTAAGAGCGGAGCACTCGGGCTGTTCTGGTTTGGGCTGCACCCTTTGGGGCGGTGTTGAGAGCCTGGTAAACGTTGTGCAAATGAATGGCCTTTCCGTTCTCAGGCACTATGAGGATATGCAACAAATGTTGTTTCAGGTCAGGCGGAAGGGGCTCTCTTTCTGTTTGCAAGTGACTGGCACAGTGAAATACCATTTGTCTTGAACTGAATGCAAAGATCTATTCTTCACTGAAAAAAAGCACTGCACTTGGGTTTTGGGTTGGAAATGATTTTGCCATGAATGCCTCCCAAATGGAATTAAAGCACGTTCCAACAGGAGCCTGTGGGTTCATGTGGGAAAATGGCAAAATACTTTTCAGCTGCTTTCCCTTCCAGAAGGATATGTTTGGGGTTTTTCTTTAGTTTTTAAGTGTCCATATCCTTTGCCCTAGTGTTTCCCTATATCTGCACATGTTTCTGTTCTATACCTGTCAGCCCGATCTTTAGTTTTTAAGAGAATTATCTTGGCCAGATTCCCACAAAATTCTGCACTGAGCAGAGTTGTGAACTTGTGTAGCTGGCACTGAACACAACTGGGACTCTGCAAGCTGCAGGAGCTGGCCCACCTGCTGCGGTAGATTGTGCCCAACAGTGCCTGTGCCTCACCCTTCCTGTGCCGTGTGGGCAGCATGCACGCTGAAGCCCCACAAGTATGGGAGCAAGAAGCACTGCACGGCAGCATGTGCATCGACCATCCCATGCATGTAACTGCTGGGAAATGCAGCCTGGCAGTCACCTCCTCTCACTCTTTTCCTGTCTTCCCTCCACCCCTCTTCTCCATTCCGCAACTCCCCAATTTCCTCCCTCCCCTCTCTCCCTCCTTTCACCCAACAACAGAAAGCTGCCTCACTCTTGCTCTCCAACACCACACATTGCCATCTCAGCCGCAAGGACCTTGTCCCAGAGAGCAGCTATGTTGCCCGTGTGCGAGCCAGACCGGGGCGGGCCAGTGGCTTCTCTGGGCAGTACAGCGAGTGGAGCGCAGAGGTGTCGTGGAAGACCCCTGAAGGTAGCGTGGGATGGAGTGGGGCTGTGCAGGGGTGGAAGCGCTGGCTGAGAAGCCAGACCTTTCCTGTCACTTAGCTTGCTCTCATCTGCTCTGAAGGTGGCCTTCAGCCCAGGAACCTTCGCTGCCTCTTCAACGGTGCAGATCGTCTGACGTGCAGCTGGGAAGTGAAGAAAGCGATCACCACCTCTGTCCTCTTTGGCTTGTTCTTCAGGGCCACTCCGGCATCAGCGTACGTGCTCTGCCCATGGCAGCGTGCCTGTGCCTCTCCCATGGAGTTTCTGCTCGGTCCCATTCCCACTGATCTCGGCTCAACCTCTTTTTCTCCCCTCAGAGAAGAGGAGTGCTCTCCTGTAAACGAGAAGGCTTTGCCCCACATCCCATATGTGGTCCAGAGCTGTGAGATCCCTGTTAGCAACCCCAGCAGTCACAGCCAGTACCATGTGTCTGTCTGGCCCAAGACAGAGGAGAAACTGATTGAAGCCTACAAGAACAGTGAGTTGCTGTGTTGTTTCCTGCTTCTCCTGGTTGTTTCTTGGAGAGATGCCTGTCTGGGCAAGTGAGGCTGAGGACAGCGGTGGTGAGGAAAAGCGTGTGGGCAGAGGAAGAGACCGGGACTGATGAAGTAAGGAACTGGATGCTGTGTCAGGTCAGAGGTCTGGGAGAGGTGGCTTGCAGGTGTGGAGCTCCTCAGCGGCACTTGTTACTCTGAGGAAGGTGTCAGTGGTGGAAACCGCTGTGCAGAAATTCAGGCTGTGACCCAGAGCTTTGCAGTGAGCGATTGTCACCCTGCTGACTGCTCTGTGATTGACCTTCATGAGTGTCCCAGGTGACGGGAAGCTGTGGTGAGAGGTGTTTGGGAGGAATGTGTCACTATGGGATTTCTCAAGAAGCCACTGGCGCTCTTGTGGGTTTGTGCAGTGGCTCCTGGAGCACTGGATGAGGTAGGACTCCTCTGCTGAGTGAGGTGTGCCAGGAGGATCATCTCCGCCTGCATGTATCTGGGGGTACTGGTGCTGCTTTTCACGGACTAAAGCTGGGAGAGCTCCTGCAGTGGACAAAAGGATCAGGTAGTAGCTCCAACAGAGCTGAAAAATCTCTGGAAATGTGGTGGACCAGCACAGATGTTGCAAATATTGCTTTAGTGCTTTTCTGTACACAGGGAGTGCTGTCAATATTAATGGATAAGGATTTTCTGTTATTTAATGGTCTACTGGTTTACTGTATTTGACTAGAAAATGAAGATGCGGGGGATTAAGAAGTGTTAAAAAGCTGAGACTTCTTACATTGCATAAACCAACATTGTTTTCAGTCTCTGGAAACTGTTCACAGCGGTGAGAGGGAGTGCTGGACCAGTATGTTGATAAATACTCTGAGACATTCCGTGTGTTCCAGTTAAGGTGCAGCCGCCTGCAAATGTGTCAGTAACAGTGACAGAGAGCCAAGAGTATGAACTGGGGTGGATAAAACACACTTTGTTTTATGGCAATATAAAACAGAGATACCAAGTTGAGTACTGGAAAAACAATCAATATGAAAAGGTAAGTCTTAGAAGGTGCAGGAGTCCTGGATTTCTCTTTGCTGGGCAAATGGGAAAGACAGTTCCTCTCATCTTCATCGTTTGTGCTTCTTTCTTTTCCCCAGACTGTCCAGAAGCTAAATATCAGCAGTGATGAACCTCCCTTCATCTTCACCCCACAGATGCTGGCATCATCTACAGAATATAGGGGCAAAATGCGTGCAAGGGTGAATACGCCTCTGGATTATGAGGGGCCTTGGAGTGAATGGAGTGAGGAGTTCACCTGGAAGACAGAGAATGGTACTTTTCACACAGGCTACTTCTGTAAGATTTTGTGCACGGTTAATGGTTGAGATGCCTCTATAGAAAAATGCATTCTCTCAGCTGGGGTTGAAGTTTGGTCCAGCCATGAGCTAGCTGGGGTTGCTTTACAAGGCAGCTGTGCTGTCTGCATCCTTGCAGTAAAGCCGCAATGCTAAGGAAGGAGGTGAGCAGGGATGACCTTTTAAGCTTCTCTCCTACTTCCCTTCACAAGGTGAGTACAACCAACCATAAAGGTTTCCACATGGAGAATCAAGCAAAGATCCTGCCCAAAAGAATTCCATTCTGCTACCAGTGACTGAAGAGCCCAGGACTGCAAGAAGACAGAATATAAGCCATCAGTCTTTTATATTTGCTGAGTGACTATAGGGTTGCGTAAGACCCACAGTAGAGTCCACTGGAGATAGATAGGAACCTTTACACGTTTTTGCTGTTTCTGGACTTAGAGGCAGAATGCCTCCTGTCAGTATGGTCTTGTGCCCAAAGTAGTATGATCGTATGTGATTTGTCCTGAAGAACCTTGTAGTGCTAAGACAGCTGGCAAATTTTGATGAGTGTACTCTGGAAGAAATTGGTATGTTGTTGACGATCAGTTATGGCCATTAGCAGAGGAAGCTCGCTCTTTGAAAATCTCTGAGACCCCATCTCTTCAGGACTGTACAGAGTAAGGCAGACCTAAGGTGCCTGAAGACGTGGCTATTGTTCATGGTGGAGTAAGGTACCTAACCATCTTTTTACTAGCATAAATTGTTTCCTCTGATGTCAGTAAAAAACGAACAAGAATCAGTAGAGGAAAGGACAAACTCCTTTGGTTACTAAGCTGTTTGGCCCACGTTTGGTCTCTCCCACTTTGGAGGGTATCCCAACAGCGTGAAAGCCTCACGATCCTGTCCCTTGACCTGCCACCTGCATTTCCCTGATCTGCTTGCATGAAGAGAGACCAGAGTGAAAAACCTGTTACGGGAAGCAGCCCCTCTGCAGGTGCATACCTGTTTCTCTTTTCTCTGTTTCAGTTCTCTCACCAGTGGTTCTCCCAGTGATGCTCCCAGCTCTCATCATCACTTTGCTAACAGTTGCTTATTGCAGCTATAAGTATTTCCTCAGGTAGGCTTGCGTTGTGACTAGGAGATTTAGCAGCGTGTTGGCCATGTGGGTGGCATAAAAACTGAGGCACTTCTTGTCCCCATGAGAGAGAGGTCCCTGTGGAGATGAGCCTCCGTGTGCAATGGGCAGCCTTGTGCATGTCTGTGCAAGGGTGAGAGTTGGGTGGGGGCATGCCAGGGCCCTGGTGGTGCCTCACTGTGCAAAGCAGCATGGTGTAAGGGGTGCAGTCAGTCTTTTCTGGCTGCAGCCATGTTGAGAAGCAAAACCTGAAACCTCTGTGTTGTTGTTGCAGGAAGAAGCAAATGTGGGAGGAAAAGATTCCAAACCCCAGCAAGAGTCTTCTGATCCAGAGCTACCTGGGGGTAAGAGGGAACTGTACCTTGAAGGGTTCATTATTTTTCTCTCTTTTTCAGTAGTTTCAATAATCTTAAGAGCTCTTTTGTCTCCTAGCCCACAATGAACAGATATCTTCATTAGCCTATGCCTTATTTTTAGGGGAAGTTCTGGACATATTTAACATAACGGTGATCTTATATTTATACTAGTAGACTTCGTTGTGTTGTGCTTGTCAGCATCGCTGTGATTTAAAATCAAGCTAGAAGATTTTCAGTACTTTAGAATTTTAACTGACTGAAATAGCTAGTGACATTAGCAAACTTCATCAACTGGTGTTTTCATTAATCTCCATACAGTAATGAACACTAATTCAGAGCTTTTAGAATGGGGTGGTAGCCCTATTTTATTTTAAGGAGCTGGATTTTCTGGAATAAATGTTATCACATGCCTGTCTGTTACCAGGACAAGCATTCTTTATTGGAAATCGAGGAACACACTTAGACAGCATTTGGTCAAAACTGAGCAGGTAGAACATCCCTCCCTGCTTCCTCCCTTCCAATTAAAACCAACATCTGGAAAGGGTGGTATAGTCATTTTGGTGGTAAACGTCTTGCAGTCTTGCAAGAAGAGCTAATTCAATAATGTGCACACCCCAACACACACATACACACTGGTTTAATACATCATTTTCAAACAGATGTCAAAGACTAGACATGGATTCTCTTGCACCAGAAGAAAAACTGGTTATGATTATACTGAACTCTCAAGTTAGTTTCTTTTGCCTGATCTCTACAGTAAAAACTGGAAACTTTTTCCCACTCTAAGAAGCACCTTAATAGCTTTGTTTCCTGTCCCCTACCTGTTTCTTCATCCACAGGCACTCACTGCCTTGTTTCATGGTTTTGAAAGATTCCATCCCTGCACTGAATTACCTTATCCTAAGTTTTGTAAACATCCCAGTAATTCTGTTTCTCTGGTCAGCTGGTATAGAAGGACAGTAATTATACCCCTATAGGTGAAATATTGCCCAGAGTGTCTCCATATGGTGCTGGAAAAGAGTAGACGCTGCACAAAGCAGTAGCTTTGATGTTTGTTGTGGTAGGAACCTGCAGCATCTCTATGAGCTCTTTAAGGGAGTAGCTCCTGTCCCTTATGCTATGTAAAGTTAGATGATCATCTAGTCCAACTGCCTGACCACTTCAGGACTGACCAGAAGTTAAAGCATATTATTAAGGGCATTGTCCAAATGCTTCTTAAAGACTGACAGGGATGGGGCATCAACCACCTCTCTAGGAAGCCTGTTCCAGTGTTCGACCACCCTCTCAGTAAAGAAATGCTTCCTAATGTCCTGTCTAAACTTCCCCTGGTGCAGCTCTGAACCATTCCCTCACGTCCTATCACTGGATACCCAGGAGAAGAGATCAGCAACTCCCTCTCCACTTCCCCTCCTCAGGAAGGTGTAGAGAACAATGAGGTTGCCCCTCAGGCTCTTTTTCGCCAAACGAGATAAACCCAAAGTCCTTAGCTGCGCCTTACAGGACATTCCTTCTAGCCCTTTCACCAGTTTTGTTGCCCTCCTCTGGATGCATTCGAGTACCTTAAAATCCTTCTTAAATTGCGGGGCTCAGAACTGCACACAATACTCAAGGTGAGGCTACACCATTGTGGTGTACAGTGGGATAATCACGTCTTTTGACCAGCTGGTTACGCTGTATTTGATGCACCCCAGGATGCGGTTTGCCCTTGGCTGCCAGGGCACACTGCTGACTCATATTGAGCCTGCTGTCAACCAGCACCCCCAGATCCCTTTCTGCAGGACTGCTCTCCAGCCGCTCCTCTCCCAAATTATACTTGTGCTCAGCGTTACTCTGTCCTAGGTGCAGAATCCGGCATTTGGACTTGTTAAATTTCATTCCATTGATGGTTGCCCAATGCTCCAATCTATCTAGATCCCTTGGCAAGGCCTTTCGTCCCTCGAGAGAGTCAAAAGCACCTCCCAGTTTGGTATTGTCTGCAAACTTGCTAATGGTGCCCTTCAACTTCTGCATCCAGATCATTGATAAAAACATTGAACTGGCCCTGGAATTGAGCCCTGAAGTACACCACTGGTGACTGGTCACCAGTCAGATGTATGCCCATTCACTACAACCCTTGAGCTCTGCTCTTCAGCCAGTTCTTCACACAGCACACTGTGTACCTGCTCATCTCACAGTCGGACAACTTGTCCAGAAGGATGCTGTGAGGGACAATATCAAAAGCCTAACTAAAATAAAAAAACCCTACATCCACTGCTTTCCGTTCATGCACTAGGCAGGTGACCTTATCATAGAAGGATATCAAATTAGTTAAACAGGACTTTCCCTTTCTGAACCCATGTTAGCTGCACCTGATGATTGCATTGTTCTCTAAATGCCTTTCAATAGCACCCACTATGATCCTCTCCACAATTTTTCCAGGAACTGAGGTTAGACTAACAGGTCTGTGGTTTCCTGGGTCTTCCCTTATGCCCTTCTTGTAAATTGGAATAACATTGGCTAGCTTCCAGGCAGCAGGGACCTCCCCAAACTCCCAAGACCTTTGGTAGATGATCAAGAGGGGTCCTGCCGTAACATCCACTAGCTCCTTCAGTACTCTGGGGTGAATCCCATCAGGCCCCATGGACTTATGAACATTCAGGTGATACAGCTGGTCACTTAAAATGTCAGTGTCCACAAATGGAAAGTCACTGTTCCCGCACTCATGGTCCTCCGACTCAGAGGACTGGGCAGCCCAAGGTCTGTAAGTATTATTAAAGACTGAGGCAAAAACCGCATTGAATACCTCTGCTTTTTCTATATCCGTTAGTTAGGTGACCATCATCAACAAGTATTGGTCTAATGTTTTCTTTAGACCTCCTCTTGCTATTAACGTACTTTAAAAAAGCCCTTCTCTTTGTCTGATACAACAGTGGCCAGCTTCAACTCTTAATTTAGCTTTGGTCTTTCATGTTTCCTCCTTGCATATATGAAGCATGACTCTGTAATCTTCCTGAAAAGCCTGAACTTGCTTCCAGATATCATAAAACTTCTTTTTCTTCTTGAGCTCCAGAAGGTGTTCCCTGCTCAGCCAAGCTGGTCATCTGCCCTGCTTGCTTGACTTATGACACACTGGAATTGCCTACTCCTGTGCTTTTAAAAGGTCGCTCTTAAAAACTGACCAGCATTAGTGGACTCCCAAGCCCTCAAAAGCAGATTCCCAGGGGATGCTGCTAAGTAGCCCCCTGAACAGCTTAAAGTTTGCTCTCTTGAAATCCAAAGTAGCAACTCTGCTGTCCTTTTTTCTCATTACTCTGAAACTTTTAAACTCAACCATTTTGTGATCACTGTGGCCAAGACAGCCACCTACCATCACATCTCCCACGAGTCCTTCTCTATTCACAAATAACCAGTCTAGGAGGGCATCTTTCCTAGTTGACTCATTGAGTACTTGTAGTTAGATCAGTGGTAAGGCAATATGGGTTGGAAGTAACTGTCTTCTGGAGAAGAGAACACACCTAGTCATATTAGTGAAATTGTATCCCTATTGCCAAATGCTGTAGGCTTTCTTATTTGTTTTCTTTGTCCACAAGGAATGTATGGTTCTTGATTCCACTGCCAGTGAGACACTGCTCTTTTGTCATCTCTGCTTTTTTGTTTTCAGAAAGTACATTTAGGAAAGGGGCCAATGAGCAGCCAGCTGGACTTCAACAAATACAACCTTTCGGAGAAGATGGAGCAGGCTAGCATCCTTCAAGTTGTGGACAGGTCGGTGAACAGCACATTACAGTGACACTGTGGATGATCGTCTCAAAGAGCTCCCTAAGTCATGGCAGGATACAACCAAATGTTCTGTGACTAAAAAGCCTATACAAGTTGCTTTTGAGGAAGGGATACAATTTTTTGCTATCTGGGTTAGCCTGCTTCTCCAAGAAAGATTTTTTCTAACCCTATGTGTAGCTATGTGTGTTTTCAACTAAGCTTGTTTTATATTTAACATTTACCACAATAATATCTCTCATGAGCAACTTTTATCTTTCTCACATTCAGGCAGACGAAGACTTTGGCAGAGTCCCCTGAAGGGCAGGCTAAAAAGACAGATGTTTCCCCTGTTGCACTGGACCTGCAGAACTCATACCATGCTTTAAATGAGTCAGAGCACGCCCCAGTTGCCTGCTCAAGTCAAATTGCTGGTCGTTCCTTTCCTGTTTCAAGGAGAAACAGTGCTGATGCAAGTGTTCCTTCCCAGACAGCAATCCCTTGCCTTGCATTCAATGGTCCATACTTGTACAGCCCAGTGATGTCCTCCCAGCCCGATATGCATCAGGCCCTGCAAGTGGACCCAGTGGGAGTCTGTGAGAAATCAGTTTCCCTTCAGTATGTGACCCTCCCAAGCGAAGACTGTCCCCAGGCTCCACAGAGGCAAGAACAGCCAGGAGCAGGTCCTCCACAGCCCTTCATGCTCCCAGATCAGAAGGAAATGATGCAGCACCTCGACGATGAGAAAGAAGTCTCACCGGCCCCACCAGCCTGTGGGAAAGGCACGAACATGAGCACAGAAGAGCAGCAATCTCCAAAGGCTCTTAGCCATATCACGTCTCCTCAGCAGTGCCCCTTGGAGTACATTCCCACAGAGAGCCTGTTACTGCCATCAGCCAGCGACTCCACCCATCCGCCACTTGTCACTGCTGGGGAGTTACCTTGTGACTCACAGGAGCCCCAGCCCCCCAGTGACCACGCTTACCATGAGTTTTCTCCTGGGAAAACTGGTGTCATGGTCCCAGTTTCAGGTCAAGCACCAACCTCTTCCGAATTGCACCTGGATACATTTGGAGACTATCTTACTGTCCCTTTCGGTCTTCATGAACATTCAGAACCCACAAAGATTTCTTTGCCTGTCTTACAGAAGGGAAATGATCTTCCTAGAAAGCAGCCTTTGTCAGAGAGTAACTTGGTGGTGTTAAATCCTGACAGCACTGAGCCAGTTTTCCTTTGCCAGGTTGGTGATTATTGCTTCCATAGCTTAAAATCCAGTGTGAAGACGGATATTAGTCAGGAAGACCACCAAGTCAAGAAACCTTCTGAAGGCAAGACAATACCTGGGAAGCCTGTATCTGATGATGGCAAGGAAAAGGATGTATCAAAAATGCAGGCTATTCAGCTTTTCAAAAACCTCAAATCAGATGATTACTTTTCCTGGCAGCAATCTTTGAGGATCACAGAAATCTGTTAAGTGAGCAAATATTAATGAATACCACAGCTACAAGTAAGTGAAAGAGGTTGCAACTATCTGATGAAAATGAACCCTCAAATCTAGGAACAAATAAACGCCAGTTCCCTTTTCCAGCTACCTGTCCAACATCCTGAAAGACTTGAAGAAACTCAATATTCTTCTCAATGGCCTTCACGGATCTGGTATGAAAGACAATCCAAATATTGCCCTCTGGTGTTTTTCAAAATCTTTGGCTTATCCACAATGAACAGTTTAGCCTCTCATGATCCTGTGACAGATCACAGTCCTCTTTCAATAATACCAGATAGCCTCAGGCAAAACTCGTGGCAGGAAATGCAGACTTAACAGCATGAAATGCTATCAGAAGAAGACAGACTTGGAAACCTTGGAAAGAAAACTTATATTCTTAAGAGCAATTTTGTTGAACTTTTGTGTGTGTGTAAAACAAATCTAAGAGTCACCAAGGAGCTTTCATATCTCTACCTTTCCACTACTGGCACGAAATAGGTATTGTCTAAAGTGAAAAAAACCCAGACAGTAATAGAAGGGTAAATAAAAAATGAGAAAAAATTGTTGAATTCCAATGTTGTAGAAGTCACTTTTTAGCTCAAATAAGAATCCAAATACCTGTTGAAGCCTTAGACTGCAAGCTGCAAACTTTTACCTAGATACGCTGACCGTATGCTGACTCCTACCTAGCTACACGAAGGAAGGCCTTGAAACTGGTGCAAACCAGGAAGATAAGGTAGCCGAAACCACTGGCAGAAGCTGCAACTATTCAAGACAAGAAAAGCAATGTCCTGCCTGGAGACAGGGAAAAGATCCAATAAGGAACAAGAAGACCCCAGACCCAAATATTACTATGGGACTGAACTGTCGCATGAGAGGAGGGGAACTTAGACTGTAAGGGTATAATTGCCCAGGGATTTCTTTGTTCGGGGTCCCTCCCCAGAGGCACCCAGCTCAAGCTGCTCTTCATCGCTGTACCACTCAATAAATTTGCCTGGCGTACGTCATGTTGGAGAGTCTGCTTCAGGGAAACCTAGGGTCGAGCCTGAGGGGAGAGAAAGCACCCGAGGGTGAGTGTGTGTGTGAGCAAGGAGTCAAAAAAGAGCGCCTGTCAGCTCAGTGGAGCTGCCCGCTGCGAAGGGACTCCGGTCCTAGCAGTTAAAAGTCTCGGGTGGTGTGTGTGCGACTCCCTGAATGGTATGTGAATGTTTGGGTGGTTGCTGCTCCCTTAACACCAGGAAACCTTTCTTAATATTAAGGTGCAGTGTATCACAGCGTATTCTAAGGGTAAGAGGGAAACATTACTAGGATACATAAAGTAGGCTGTAGAGAACCATGGGGAAGAATATACATTACTGAAAGAAACTCCAAGGACTCGTAAGGTGCAGTGAGAGGAAGGGAGTGGGGCAGGTAACAGAAAATGACAGGCAAGAAATGTTGTGAAGGTGCACAAGCCTGTATCTGCTGGGGTTTTTCTAAGTGTATGTACTATATGATTTTCTTTTAAGTTCATTGGCTGTTTATGCACAATATAATTAATCTTAACTATGTAATTTATTCTTAGTTTTTTTTTTCCTAAGTAATAAGCTCTGTTGAGAAAGAGAAGCCATTTTTTTCCCAGTTCTGCTGTAAAGAAAGTGGTGCAAGGTAAGAGCATTTTTTCAGAGCTGCCACTCTGTGATCAATAAAAGGCTCTAATTTCAGACCTGAAGGTGGGCTTGCATTCAAAAAAAAATGTTTCTTTTTTCAAATATAAAAATTGTACTAATAAAAATATTCTTTCTTCCTATAAATCTTTCCTTTCATATGTTAAGAGCATTGTGGTTACAATAACATTACTATTAGCTCATCTGATCAGGCCTCAAAAAATTCTATAGGTTCGGCTATGTCACCTGTGAAGTAGGTGTGATGGATGCGCTCAACCCCTTGACCAAGCTGGCGGTAGTTTGGTACAGGCTGCGGAAGAGGTAAAGGCCTGAGCCGTAGCTGGGCTGTGAAATCCTCTAGCTTCAATCTGTTCGCTGAAAACCCACAAAGGAGCAGAGCAACACAGTGAGCATCGATGCATGAGCTTGAAACACCAATCATGTGATTAACACATGAATAGCGGGTGGCTTTTCCAAGACCCATTTATCAAGGAACAAAGAAAGTTGTGGGTACAAGGAGTCTCCTGCATACCTCTTCTATGGCAGGTAATTTGACTACAAGCCAACTACTTTACCCTATAAATATGACAGCCTAAGTGAGCCTTCTTGGAGCTCTCCCTGCTAGGCAGTGTGGCTGCATGGCAGTGATCTCCCCTTGAGCTGGGACACCTCTCAAGGTTGCTCCTCGAGGCAGAGAGACTTTTTACCAACGACAAATCTTTGGTAAGAGACTGATATCGTGCATAACCTTGTAGTGTGGTAACTTTGATTGCATGCTGAATTGATGCTAATGAAACATCATATAAACTTTGCACGTACGATCCCTTAGACATAAACCATTGTCCAAGTTTGAGGCTAAGATTGGACCTAGCCACACCTAACCTCCATCAGGAGTTTAGAAAGCAAGGGGGTCTGCTCTGAACCTCGTGACTCCACAAGAGGGTCTTCCTTACTCTGCATCTCCAGTCTCTCTGCGAATCATTCTAACTAAAGTGTAACTCAGTTTTCCTTTGTATGATTCTTCCATGCAGTAATTAAGAGTGAACCTTGCCATTGGACTTTGTTAAGTTGCACTTTTACAACATCATATTAAACCCACTTTTGCTAATACCTTTGCTGGTGATTCCTTAAGCGTTCTAAATCACCCATTTGTGACAGTAGGAAGTTTTCTCCTGACTTCGCTATATTATTTGACAGAGATAATGAGAAGGGGTTTTGTGTTTGTGCCAGCCGATTCCTCCTGCTGGGTTAATGGGACAGTGCTGATTCAGAAGTTGCAGTAAAATGCGTTGTTTTTTCAGAATTTAAATCCTTATAAATACCATTTTAAATTTGACAGGTGTGCAAATTCAGTTTGGTGTTCTTGACAGCAAAAGGCAGGCAGCTGCAGCCTCTGATAGAGAATATGGACGAACACTTTAAGGGATTTTCAATTTAGTCCTTTCCTAATCAATGGATTTTTTTGCTAGTCTCTTTTTTGGCCTTTTATGAGTACCACAAACAATTTATTCCAGCCTGTATGATTGTGCTCTATCTAGGCATGTACTAAAAGGAGATGTTCAAAATCATATGCAAATTCAGTATCTGGATTCACATCTTAGATATGCATGACCTTGCTGGGCCTTAAACTGCTGTGGTTTTAATAACCAAGAAGAATAGTGAGTGTGAGAACTTTTATTCAGTTCAGGGGCTTTTGGATGAAGCCCATTTGCACTGCGATCAGTACCGTAAGAGCTATCTGTTCCTCCTGTCCTTCTGCACTTTACTGGGCATTTGCAGAGGCCACTTTTGGAGACAGGTTTTATAGATACTCGAACATTTGATATGACCCCACAGAGCAGATATTATGATCTGAAGATCACTTCAGGAGCCTGGAACTTGCAGAGTAACATGCCACTGTCAGGCTAGGGGAGCTGAACAGTGCAACTTTTGCAACTGTAATGATTGTTTTAGGGCAGAATGAGTTTCTGCTCTAGGGAGTCATTGTTCAATATCCACCTAAATATTATTGAATAAAATATGTAATGAACATTGGAAGAAGGGGTCACAACATATGGGTCTGCTGTGCCAGAGAAATCCACTTCTTACTGGGTTGCAGAATCAAAGCTTCCATAAACTCTGTCTGTTGCTGATCCTATGAATCTTCCACTCCCTTCTGCATGAGGTCCAGCTGCAGTGGGGGTGGTAAAAAACATTTTACAATCCTGTAGCTGGATGATTCAACTTAGGATCTGTTGTGAGTCCCGGGTCTTCAACTTCCCGATCATTAGCTTGAGCCACAAAGTTACTGTGCAAAGGGAGGTTGTTGCTACCCTCCCCAGTGTTAGGTACTGATATGCAGGAGAGGAATGGTCATTCTGATGATTCAGGAGCCAATTATGACATGCTTCTCTCTGTAGGGCTTCTCACTAAGTAGTTCCAGCTCCTCAGCCTGTGATGATTCACCAGTGTTTTCTATATAGTCAAAAAAGGAGAGGTAGACATCTCAATACTGTAAATCACATTTCACAACTCTCGGTTTACACTGAATATCCAGTTATGAAGTCATTACAACCCTTTCCTTACTGTATGCTCAAACATCAAAGATCCTGCTTGTGTTTTAACAGCAGGCAAATTTCTCTTCGTTGCTCTGAAGTAATCAGCTTATTATTCCCTTATCATAATCTTCCTCAACCAGAAATATATTACCTGAATTTGCATGAGATTAGGGTAGTAAGTATATTGTGATCTCAATAATTCTAATTAAGATCCATACTGAACCAGTCTGTTGTTCTGTTTCTGCTAGCCTGGGGGTTGTCTTTTATGTAAGAAAGGAAAATGAGGCTGAATGGTTTGCTAGAAAAGGAAGATTGCAGTGGAAAGCCCTCCAAGGCCTCAAGGAACAATAGCTGGAAAAGTTCTGAGAATCCTGTATCTCTGCAGAGTAATGGAAAACAAACCCAACCCATCCTGCCAGTCCTTGTGTAGTTTCTTGTTCATTCAGTCAAACACATTTGTACACACAATCTTATTCCCAAACAACGCCAATGAATGATCTCTGTCTCTTCTCCTCACTCACTACATGCTCCCTCTGCTCTCACAACAGAGCTGAAATTTCCATGAAAAGAAACCCTGCATGCCATGTTCTGTATGTGGGGAATAAGTAGCACAATGACTTCATGCCCATTTTGTCCCTTTTTAAGTCCTTTCGAGTGGCTGCCAGGATTCTGTGTGCTCCAACCTTGATCCTAACAACTCCTCATGTTACACGATGGATGTTTCACCATGGCATTAGGTGGGTGGACCCAGACTCCCCTGCAGACTTACTCAACAGGTCAAAAACTGTGTAGATTCATTGTGTCCTTT